ATGGTTTGGTTCATCGGCAGTGGACTACCGGGAAAAGAATATGTCTAAAATTCTGCGAACCAATTGTTTGGAGAGAACCAAAAAACCACTTCAATGATTGTTTTTTCTGTTTAGTAAATACTAAAGGAATCAATCGAAATAGCCGCAGTAAGTGGACTTATCCCAATGTAGACTCGGCAATACGCCCTATCCCGCACTCAGATGAAATACCGATTCCAACATTTCATCAGCTACCAGATATCTCTGATGACGAATATTTTCCCTCTGATCGCTGTTCTGATGCTAATAAAAGTTTTGATGCTAATGAAACTAACAGTGACTATGAGGAGACGTCATCAGTTCCTCAACGCTTTAACCAGGGATCTCAATTTATCGAAAAAAGCTTCTGAAGTACTGGCTTCTAGGTTAAACGACAAAAATTTATTGGAACAAGGAACCAAAATTACCTTTTACCGTACAAGAGAAAAGTATCTGCTACCATTCTTTTCTCAAGAAGACAATCTTGTATTTTGTCACGAAATTAATGGATCTGAATATATTCCAGATGATTGGCGCCTATTTATTGACAGTTCAAAGCGAAGTTTAAAATGTGTCCTTCTACATAATGGGAATAAATATGGTTCAATGCCACTAGCTCACTCAACGAAACTGAAAGAAGAATATAATACCGTAGCTTTGGTCTTGCAGAAGATAAATTATCACGAACATCAATGGATTATTTGTGTAGACTTAAAAATGGTAAACTTTCTTCTTGGACAGTTAAGTGGTTACACAAAATATCCGTGTTTCTTGTGCCTCTGGGATAGTAGGGAAAAAACACACTACTGGATTAAAAATCTGATGTGTCCAACACATGACTTTCCTATCTACTTATTACAGGCTTTTTCCGGTTATTTTGTACAACCTATTGCAGCATCTCTATAAATGTTTAGAGGATAAACTAAATATATACATTGTCCACATACATCTACCGCGAAACATTTTTCTATAGATATTCATTGAAAATGAAAATACTGAAAAATTTAAATTTAGCACTTTTCCTACAATTTTTCCATTACGGTCCATTTTAAAAAAATCATGTATGAACAAATATTATAGAGATCAATATCGCAAACAACTTTTATTTTAACAATTTTCATAAAAATCAGAATTTTGCACATTTTGTCAAATTTTTCGAATACGGACCATTTCAGGAAATTTTTACATAAAGCAAAAATTATAGATAATAATATTAGAAGTAACTTTTATTTGAACAATTTTTTTCTCCAAACATAAATAACAGATATATTCCATAAAATATAAAAACGGCCTCCCATAAAGTACCCCCCCAGATGTTCCGACTTTGTCCAAAATCTAATCATTTCACGTCAGGCCGAAATAAAACTTAAGTTTAAAATTTAATGTTTTTTTCTTTATCCGTTTTTGAGTTTTCTTCAAATTTCGAAATTTACACATTTTCTCAAATATCTTGAATACGGTCCATTTTAGAGAAATTATCTATAGGATAAAAATTATAGAGAATTATATTACAAACAACTTTTGTTTGAACAATTTTTATAAAAAAAAATATTTTTTTACATTTTGTCAAATTTCGCGAATACGGACCATTTTAGGAAAATTTTGTATATAACAAAAATTATAGATAATAAAATAAGAAGTAACTTTCATTTAAAGAATTTTCTTCCCCAAACGTAAATAACAGATATATTCCATAAAATATAAAAATGGCCACCTATAAAGTACCCCCCCAGATGTTCCGACTCTGCCCAAAATCTAATCAGCTCATTAGACGCTGGAACAAAGCTTAAGTTTGAAATTTGGTGTTTTTCCGTGTATCGGTTCATGAGTTATGCGTTATACAGACACACACACAGACACACACACACAGACACACACACACACACACACACACACAGACATCATCGCGAAAATAGTCAAAACGGATTCAGGGGACCTCAAAACGTAAAAATCCGTCGAAAACTCGAGGTCGAAAAAAATCATGATTCCTATACTTTCCTTATATCTGTATACAGATAGGAAAGTAAAAAAGATTGGCCTCAAAGAGAAAACATGGACGTTGCAGAAAAGAATGTCATTAACGACGCTTTGGTTGAAAGAAAAAATCATACTTCCTCCGTTACATATCAAGTTGAGCTTAATGAAGCAATTTGTAAAGGCTCTTAATAAGAATGGGTCATGTTTTGCATATATAGGGGTAAAAATGCATCAGTTGAGCACAGAAAAACTCAAAGCAGGGATATTTGATGGCTCACAAATAAGACAATTAATTAAGAATCCTGCCTTCATAAATTCAATGAATCAAGTTGAACGAGAAGCGTGGACATCATTTGTTGCAGTTGTAGAAAATTTTCTAGGCAAACATAAAGCTCAAAACTATGTTGAAATGGTTAACAAGATGCTTAATAGTTTTAAATCCTTAGGGTGCAATATGAGTATCAAAATACACTATTTACACAACCACTTAGACCGTTTTCCAGAAAATTTAGGAGACATGAGTGAGGAACAAGGTGAAAGATTTTACCAAGATATTAAAGTTATGGAGAACCGCTATCAAGGAAGATGGGACATGCACGTGATGGCAGATTACTGCTGGAGTTTAAAAAGGGACTGTTTAAAAAAACATTCAAGAATGTCGCGGAAAAGAAGCTTTCGAAGTGTTGAGTGACTATTTGATTTCTTCAATGTTTTTTTTTTTGTTTGTAAGTACGACATAATATTGTATTTTGATAACTAAAATAAAAATTTCGTATCTACTTTTGTTTACTACACTTACGGATTTGAGTTAAAATAATATAACTTATATTTCTCTAAAATTGTATAACTTAAAAATTTGAGCTCCTAGGTAAAAATGAATACGTTATTTGAATTCAGGACATCAATGTGATCTATATCACATATCATCTATATCATATTATATCATCTATAATGAGTTCAAAAACCTCGACACCGAAACAGCTGTTCCTCTGTGTAATCATAGTACTAAATAAATTATTAACAAACTTAAAATCTGATTCTGTTCAAAAAGTATTGATCATTCATGACACGTTTTTGTTGAATTTTCAGTATTCCACGTGACGAAAATAAAAGAAGAGAATGGGGAAAGATTGTAAACAAGGATGACTGGATTCCTAGAAAAAACAGTTTTTATGCTCCAAACATTTTATAGAAAATTTATTTGATAGATCTTTTTCACTTGTTGTTAGATTACTGCCAAATACTGTACCTACGATTCAAGAGACTCGGATGAAATATGTTTAATAATGGAAAATGTAAATTAGATTGTTTTGTATTTTTTAGGTAAGAACCTATAACCCTTCAGTTGAACACTGAACAGGTAACTGCCTGTGATGAAGCTTCTTTAGCTCTTCCTGTACCTTCTGTTGGTCATAGGGTTACCACATGTCGTTTTTTGAAAAGAACAGTCCTTTCTTCAAACAAATTGATCTTTTTACGGCACATGTCCTTTAAAAGGACCTGATTTTTATAAAAATATAAACTGAGGACCTTTTTTTATAGGCTCGTCAGAAAGACTAGGAGTTTATTCAAATATATGCTGATGAGGCACTTTTCAAAAAGGTGGTAACCTTAGTTGGTCAACAAAGTTGTACATACTCTAAAAAGTCAGAAGAGAACCCTCCTGATAGCCCTCGTAAAAAGAAGCTCAAAAGACGCATCCAAAACTTAAAAACACAGAATAAAGTCAAGAATATTAAATTAAAGAAATTACCTCAAATCTTTAAAGACAGTAATGCTGGAACTCAAGAAAAAATTTGTTTATGGAGAAAGAAGAAAATGTATTTTGAAAATATTATAGGAATTATTGAACAATTATTTAGGAAAACCTTGGTCAAGACTGTATCTAACACATATTCACCAAAATTAGGATGTTTTGCAATTACATTACATTTTATTTCCATTAATCTAATATCTTTAAAAGTACTTCCAAAAGAAGATAAGTACGGAAAATTATAATTTTTTCGCAAATATTCAACACTTTTTTTAGTCTTACTATTTCCTTTGTCATAATTGTGTCATAGTTTTGTGAACTAATATTATCCCATTAACAAGACTATGATTTTCTTATATACTCATTGCAACGAAATTTGCGTTGCACGTTATAAACTCATGAAAGTAGACGTTGCTACGGAATTCGAGGATCTCAAGAAACATTTTATAAAAACTTATGTTTAATTTGAACTCCATCTTTTGAGACTTTGAATAATTAATTCATTAAACCTATATATACCATTTTAGAAGCTTCCGGAAATAGTTCTTCCAATATAAATAAAGCTTTATTCAGAATAAGAATCACTATTATTAAAATCAATAATTACAGGTACCATTATTTCATTGTTTTTTTTTAATATTTTATTAGAGCCCCACTAATTCTTTCGCACGGCTATTTAAATTCTTGGGCATTTTGAAAATAAAAAATCTTGTTTATTAATCACAAAAATATTACTGTTGACAGCTTCATAGTTCAATTATACATATCATAAAAAGAAATATTAATTTGGTTACTGTCCGTTACGTATAAATACCAATAATTGTCCACTTCAATCTTGATAAGCAACAAATAATTTGATTAATAGCAATAATTTATCTGTTCAATTTTATAAACAATTTTCATCATTGATTTGACACAATGACTATAACTGATTTTTCATTTAATGGTAAAGTTTAAAATCCAAATATCTCAATATTTTACGAACGTGATTTATTTTGTTTTAGCAATAAGTCGACGGATATGGTCAACCTCATTATATTCTTTTTTTAAATATAATTAAGTAGTACGCTCAAATCTCGATATATTTTTTTTTAAATTACAACTCATAACAACAAAGTTATTGGGACTGACATTCGTAAAAATTATCGATGATAATAACCGTACCACTTTCTACGACCACAAAGGAAAGTGACACGTATCACACGTATATGGATAAGAATCTACTTGAGGCCCATGTATGGATAAAACTTACCAATTCCCTAAACGAAATAACATCGATGTTGACGTCTTTAACACTCCAATGTTTAAAAATATTCGGATAAGTAGTCATATTATACCCCAATTTTTTGCAATAGTCCAATTCCAAAGGGAAGCATCTTCTGGGCGGGTCCGGTTTCTGAGTTACGGCTTCAGTAACAATAATAACTGTTGTAGAAGAAATTTGCGGTAGCTCAGTATCGAGTTTAACTTCTAAACTTTTGGAATCAATGGTTAAATTTTTGAAAAATAACGATTCTTCCACCGATATTTCGTTAGCCAAAATATCTTCAATATCTTTAGCTTGGATGTCTAAATAGTATGGGTCCATGTGAATATTGAAATGTACAATTAAATCTTTGTCTTCCGTTCTGAAAAAAAAAAAAATAATAAGAATATAATTTGGAGTGCTTTGATATTTTCTCGTTAGTGTCGCCAGTTTCAGCAATTGCAAAAAAATGCAACGGCTGATCTAAATGACGTTAGTGTGTAGACGGGTGATATGAATTGCCGCAACAACCCTAAAATTGTTCTAATTATATATTAAAAAAAAAAACACATACCCATCTAAGGCTAGTACTTCAGAACCGACGTATCCGTGCCTTACTGAGCTCCTTTTAAATAATAAATTCAGTCTTTCTCTGTAATCACGAGATCTATTTTTAAATTTGTTTGTACTAGGATCTGCTAGTTCAGGGGTGAAGGTGTCTCCTTCTATCACTTTAAATGTTGCTCTGAAAATTTGTTCATCCGGTGTTTGTGGAAGGAAGAACGTATCTGCAACAAAGAAAATAATTATAAATATTTATTTTTTATTTGTAGACATTAATTGAAATCAGATCAAAGTCCATTTGGCGCAAATTATTAAAATGTAAATGTTCAAAAATAAAAAGTATTTTTTAACAGATACTCTCTTTATAATCTACCCCGCATAAATAATGTATAGTAAACATGAGAACAGGAATGTATTTCATTATTCAATCTGTACTTAATTTAAAAATCTCACACAAAATAGAGAATAAAAATCATGTTTCAATTACATAATAAATTAAAATTAAGGCCAACCCTGGCAAATGCCGGAATGCAGTTTAACGTATCAACGTTCAAAGTTTACCTAGAATCAGGGCCGACAAGAGGGGGGGGGGTAGCCGGGACTTATTCCCGAGGCCCAGGCTCAAACGGGGCCCGGCAGCAGTATAAGGGGGCCCGGCAAATGTGGCGAGGATTTTTTTTACTTTCAGAAGTTCAACGCAAGAGGGGGGAAGTTTTAGCTTGAAGACCTTTTTTTTAATAATTTTTTATCAAATTGTCGCAGGGCCCGATCTGGAGAATTGTCCTGGGGCCCGACCTGGCTCTCGGCGGCCCTGCCTTATTAATAATTACATATAATTAAATAAAAATGTTCATATGAAAGGGGTTTTGGTACACTTTTGTGCAAAACTAATGTAAAAATTTTTCGGTCATTATGGTCTTGTCGAAGATAGAAATACTTTGCTGCAGCCTCACCAGCGGTGGAGTACTCGACAAAGACGTCTTAAAAAAGCAGTTGTAGAAAATGCTAATATCATATATTTAATTATGTTATGTTTTGTTATGTATGAGATATTAATATTAACATACTGCGAGCTAAACGATCTACTTTGTCCCCTTCTGTCACTAGTTAATTAACGTGACATTACTTCATAGTTCCATAGGTTGTTACGTATTTAACTTTGGAATAATTACCGAAAAAAGCAATCTTTTTTATTTTGTTTATTTTTACAAAAATTTATTAAAGAACGACTATTATTGTTTATTGCAGTGAGACTGCACAAGGCTCTGGCAAAAGGGAAAGTTGATGCAGTTAAAGAAACCAACTGGAAGGTTCACGAAGAGTGTAAGCAGACTCTCAAGAGAGGACGCTGTATTGGCCAAGCACCTATGCAGCAGCAAACTGTTAAAGTGGGACACTTTTGATGTGAATAGAATATTTTTTGCCCTGCTTCAGCGGGCACAGGAGGAATTACTACCACACTAATCCGGATATCCCGGAGCAGTCTGGAACTGGGACATATACCAGAATCATGGAGAAGGACCAAAAATAGAAGAAAGGATATCACACATCCTAAATCTTTCCGACCAATTAGTCTCACATCCTTTGTATATTAAAATAGAAATCTTGGAAAGGGTACCACTCTACCACAGCCAGTACGCGTACCGAGTTCTTGAACTTTGAATTTAGGTACTGAATGTTACTTTTAATGCCAAGAGATTAAAAATACCATTATCAAATCCTGCTTGTTATTTGTCGATTAAATTTAATTCGTTCCATGTTAAAGTACATCAGTTTGGTCAGAAGCATAAGGTTTATTTGTATTTTTACTTCCCTCCGTCCGTCCGTCCATCCGTCCGTCCGTCCGTCTGTCCATCCGTCCGTCCGTCTGTCCATCCGTCCGTCCGTCCTACGTCTGACTGCCTGTTGGTACGATAGATCAAAAACGGCTTTATAGAAAAACAATTTTATATGCAAATAAGGTTCCTTTCTGGCTCAAAACTAGCTCTACTTCCAATCAGTTATATGAAGTGTGAGCAGTTTTTAAAATAAAAATTATTTTTAAAAGTCGGCAGATTTCGACTAAAATTGGTATCTGAGAATTTTAGAAGTCAAAGATAACAGATTCTAAATAAGTTTTTAAGAACTCAAAATGGCGCTGAAAAGAGTCGTATTTAATCAAATCGTCCTATTGGTTTGTATCTGGACTATTTTAAAAGCAGACAATCATTATTGTTTAATAACGGTGAATGTGACGAAAAATACCGAGTGAGAATTCGGGTGGGATCAAGAGGAAGATCGATGGAGAAAGAAATGTTAAAAAGAGTTCTTGATTTGGTGGTTTTAAGTTTAAATTATCAAAATTTAAGTGCTTAGGAGTTCCCTGTTTTTACAATTTCTATATCGAGGGAAGTTCTGGGTAAAATACTTTTCCGATTTTTTGTAAATAATATAACTTTTTCATTCAAAATTTAATCTACGAAGTACCTATATTCCATTTTATATACCGTGACATTATTATTTATATTATAAAAACTTACTTACTTACTCCTCTTTTATTCAGACACCCTGACACCCTGACTCAAATAGCACTGCCTCTCCTACCAATACCCTTGGACTAGGTAATAAAGAGAGGACGCGTAACAAATATATCGAGCTGTGCCGATTATCTATTGGCCGCCATTATTTTGGTGCTTAGCATTTCGGTGACACCAAAGTTTTTGTTCGTGTTTATTTCTGATTTTTGAATTAAAAGATATTTAATAATTGGTTTATTACAATGGTTTATTGTGTGGCATATCACTATTAAAGTTATAGCAACAATAAAGAAGCAGATATTACGTTTCACAGGTAAATGATAAACATCGATCGTTTTTACTTTTATATTTTCTTATATTTTTCATCTTATTTGGTGTCATACAACTTGGTATTTACATATTGTACATGGCTTACTCCAGAGTAATACATTTTACCCACCAAGTTTGTTTATTTTATGCTTTTCATTGATATTTAAGCAAATAATAATAATATTAAAATGGCCAAACAAGTAATTTTTTCCAGTGGTGTGTCGTACAATTCTAAATATTAACTTTTAATAAATTCTAATTTACTTTTGCTTTTTATTTAATTGCAGCAATGTTCTTGTGAATCTATAGATAGATAAATGGAGCAGTTCCCATTATATTTCTTGAATTCCTTAAATACATGCAGCCAAAGAAGGTGCGTATACTAATAAACATAATTAAACATATATATTTTTTTTAATTACTTTTCATTATTATGTTATGCAGTTTTAAGAATTTAGCAAACCTTTTGTGTATAATTCAAAACATTACCGTAATAATTGATTGTTTGTAGGACTTAAAAAGAAGAGCATTGCATTTGGAAGCTGAGCCAGGCCCTTCAAATAGAACTGCTTAGAAGACAACAGGTAGAAAAGAATAAAGAAAAATACAAAACAAATCAAAGTTCTTAAACAAAAACTTAAAAGATATAAAAAAGTTGTTTTGCTAAAACTTCTTGTTATTATACCAAATTAGTATTATTTAAGGGCCAGTAATAAATAATGTATCTTCATTTATGTATAATTTTTCTTACTAGCCTAATTTAATAATACCCAGATAGCATACTACATCTTAAAGACGTCTTACTTTCGTACAAATGTCCTGGTACGTAAAACGGACAGTTTTAAGACATGTTTGTACAATATTTTTAGCGTTGGTCTGTGGACATTGTCATTACTTTTTTCGGGGTTGTGTGTTTTTATATATTGTCTTTTTATATTATTTATTTGCCATTATTGGAACTGTGGTATACCGAAACTAGTAAACTTTATCATTAAAAACGGTAAGTTTTAATTTATTTGCCTTTTAATTTCATAACCTCACTTTAATAATATCTTATTTTTTTAGAAAAACACCATAAAACAATAATTCAACAAAATTATATGCTACGGGGACATTAGTTACAGATGCTTTGGCTAAAATAATAGCATAAGTAGAAGTATTTTAGGGTATTAAAAAAAGAATTTTATTTACTTTTCTAATGACTTCCTTTAAAATATAAATTATCTAGTTTCTTTATTTAAATTAGGTAAATAAATATTCTTATATTACTGATGATAGTTTATATTTTAGACCATGTACAAATATACAGTATGCGTCCAAAAACAAATAACATATTTTTTTTCTTTTCAAATCGGCAATTCTGCACAAATTTTTTAATATTGCACATACTTTTTTACTCATCTTAATTGTACCTGTAATTTTTTATTTTTGTTTCGTAAGTTTGAAGCAGTACTGTTGGCAACAAAAAAGTCTTCGTAATGACCGATTTTCTAGGAACTTCAATTTGGTTTTCTGAGATAAGTATTCATATACTCGTATAATTTAATGTATCAGCTTAGATCAAATCCTATGTTTGATTTACTTCTTAATTAATGGTGACTGAAATTTTGTTGATGAGAGTTTCAGAGTCATACCTTGAACTTAATATTGAAGTGTATGAGGTACTTTTGTTCAAACTATAACTTCTTTTATTTGTTGGCAAGCTTAATACTCTTAAAGAAGGCTCATAATCAAATAATTTAGTATCTGTAGAAATTACTATATTAAAAACATTCAAACATTATTGATTCGCCAAATTTATTAAACACAATACCTTCTATTTTTTTTAGGTGACATAGGTTCACCACTACTCTCTTTTTCTTGCTTTTTTCGTGTAATACAAAGTTCCTAAAAAGTAAATATACAATTTTTAAAAGTGCAAACGTACAAACTTATAAATATATTTGTTGCAGTCCTCTAAAAAGTGCCTTGAACAAATGTAATATATTCGTTCTTCAACTTCTAACATTTCAGTCCATTTAAGTTCCTCTAACCATAAGTTTCTTCTAATTCGTATTTTAGAACACTAAATATAATAACAATTTTATTTTTTTTTTTAATATTCATATTTTATTTTCCTTGTTTCTCCTAAAACGACGCCCATGTTCTTCGGCAAGAAATAATATTAACGAGTGAAACGTAACCTCAATTCCTCTTTTATATTTGAAACCACATAAAACACAAGCTTTTTTCTAGTATAAAATAAACCCTACAAAACAAAGTCTCTTTTAACACCACCATACTTGAACGAATTTAAATAAAAACTTAAATAATTATCTAAAAATAACTGGAAAAATAAATATAGAGATGGATTAATATATTTCTCTCTAATTAGAATCTTTGATGCGATTCTCGACCAT